TGTGTGTGTGTGTGTGTGTGTGTGTGTGTGTGTGTGTGTCTCTGTCTCTTTTTCCCCCTCCCCTTTTTCCTCTCCCCCTCCCCCTCTCTCTCGCTTTTTGCCTGTCTCTGTCTCCCTTCCCCCCTTCCCCCAATTAAAAAAAAAAAAAAACCTCCACATAAGCTCTGTCAAATGGCATCTTTCTTTCTCTCCTGCTTTTTACATTACAACAAAACAGACATTCATTAATTATTTGGGCATATTTCTTGAGCAAGTTAGCTATATATAAAGCAAGAAAAACATTCCTTGCTTTGCTCTGTTTCTATGCATGAGGTGTGGGGGATGAATCACACCTCTGAATTTTTGTAGCCCTGGGTGGCCTGGAACTTGCTATGTAGACCAGTAGCATCACCTGCTACTCAAAGACCAGTTACAAATTTTATAGCTAGTCCTCTTGAGACTTAACCATTGGTTTAGGTTTTTTTTTTTTTTCCTACAGGATCCCAAAGAGTCACCTTCGTCCCCATGACAGCTGGAAGTAATTCTAAGAAAACAACGCCCTTTCCCTACTGTTGACTTATAGGGTGTTTTTTTGTTTTTCCCAAGGATATAGATAATTGTAAACTGCTTAGGGTTGATTTTAAGTTGTGCAGGGTGGGGAATGGAAAAATGACATTCAGGAATCTCAAACTCACAGAAATCTGCCTGCTTCTGCCCTCACTACACCTTGTATGTCACATTTTAAAGAAAGGGAGATGTTGTCCGTCCAGGCTGCCTGAGAGGAACAGGAATAAGAGACTTTCAAGGTTTTTCCTACCCAAAGGTCTTGTTACCGCTGGAGGATAAAGCCAGAAATTTCGAGTTTAATTGACTAAATGGGATTGGCCACTCAGTAAACTGCTTCCTGAGTGTCTCCTATTTCCCAACCGGAGCAGGATGGCAGGGAGGGACACGCAAATCTGAAAGGGACTTGGGGAGCACATGCCGCTCGCTATTGGTCAAGAAAGGTAGAGAGAGGAGAGTTGGCCAGGCTTGGAACAGGCTACGGAGAACAATTTTATTAGAAGTTAGACCCGTTAAAGCTGGAGGGCCCATCTGAGGCAGCAGGAAATGACTGCTTCGCATATGTTGTGTGAAAACACCATCACAGGTGCCACCTCAGACCTTAGCGAGCACAAACCTTCCCGGGTGCTTCCGCAAGCTGTCCCCTACATTGGCTGTTGGATTTAATGTTTCCACTAGAGGGCAGGCTAAACTCACAGATTCTGGGCACGGAGCTTCAAGTTCCTTTTTAGTTTTATTTATTTTATTTTTAAATTTATGTGTATGTGTACCTGTTTGCCTCTGCACTGAGTGGAGAACATGCCTGTGGAGGTCAGAGGAGGTTTTGAAAGTCTGGAACTGGAGTTACAGATAGTTGTGTGCTGCCCGGTGTGGGTCCAGAGATCTAATCCAAGTCCTCCGAAAGAGCAGCAAGTGCT